AATATAATATTTGATGCGGGAGTATTTACATTGAGATTACTACAAATAGAACTTATTAACATTATTGGTAAATGAAGCTAGAAAACTAGAGTGATAAAGTAGTTTAGAAAATTTGTAGACGTCATTCTTTTCAAACAATCATTTGAGAAGAATTTTATCGGAAGTGTAATATTTAATAAGGGTTAAATAAATTTTTGATTTTTATAAATATATTATTTTTTTGTTTTTATCCTTCTAAAAATTTTTCTTTAAATAATAATTCTCATAAATTTTTCTATCCATAATTTTAGTTATTATCATCAATTTTTATTAACGGATGGTGACGTGACACATCACGTAGAAGGTAGAATTGCAAGAGTTTTAAATTTCTTTTAAACAAACTCAGAAAAATTTATTCCAAAAAGATAAAATTCAAAATTCTTGGAAGCATTTCATCACCCTTCAAAATTAAAAAATCAATGTCCATGCACGATAAGTAATCACTCAATATACCAGAATTGAGCAATTGAGCAATTGCAATATCAGGAGACATCATTAATACTAAAAAACAATTTTAATTATGGATGCATTTGCAATAATAATAAATGAATTTGGTTTAGAACGGTTAGAAGTAAAAATGAGAGTGAATTTGGAATTGTATGTGAAGTTTGTAGATGCTTTGATGTTGATTGAGGCACTTGAATTGGATGATGAATTTGTTGGGCTTTGGATTAATTGCGCATAAGGTTGCATTGTGATTGAAATGGGCATGACACGATGTTGCTACAAGAACGTAATTGAATGCATGTGTATCTATGTATTGTTGGCCATGAATGCATTTGGATTGTATGTCATAAACCTTGAATGATTCCCAAACCTGCAACTCGGTTGAGCCACCAAGACACTACCTCCGTAGTAAGATAAAACAAACCAAGTGAGTTGTTCTCACTCGCAACCATTCTCTCACCCTCGTAAACATCGATTAGGACACTGGATCGGTCATCATCACCTGTGTTTCCTCTTTACAAGAATGGTAGAATGCTTAGGAATCATAACACTCATGATATCTCCTTTTAATTTCATGTAACATTTGCAAACCCAAGTTTGGAACATTCTTAGAACCTTCACTCAGCAAAGCAGCTTGGACAGCTGCACCATAAGCAACAGCCTCAGCAGGATTGATGTTCTTGCATAATTCCCGCCCCTTGAAAAAACCCTGCAAAAGTTGCTTCACTTATAGTTAATAAAACAAAACATAAGAAAATTTATAGGGGTTCGTCTTTTATATTATCTATGTATAATATTTACAAACGTGCATTTTTAAGCATTATTTATTAAAAATTAATTTCTACTATTATAATAAATTATTTTATCATTTTAAAGTGATACGACTAACGAAAAAATATAAATTTAATCTAAATAAAAATAATAAACTAATGAAACAAATAAAAAATTGTAAGAAAATTAAATATTATTGAATGTGTTTGAATTCTCTTTATGAAAACCACTCATATAAGATTTAATTTTTGATTGATTTTTCAAAAATTGATTCAAACCGAATTAAATTGCATATATTTTAATTTTTTTAATTTTTTTTTGTTAATATTATACATTGATTAATTTATTATTCATTGATATTTGATAATATTATTTATTAGTTATGTTTATTTTTATGTATTTTTAATATTTCATTTTTTAAAAAATATAATCGATCGTTCTCTTGTTATAATTAAAATTTTTAATATATTATGTGTTATATATTACTTGTTATAATTTAGATATTTAAAAACCAATCCAAATTAAATCATATGAAATTTGATCGAAACAAATCATATTTTTTAACAAGTCATCCTAAATCAAAACTGCAAATAATTTTATCTTTGAATCTAATGATTTTTTTCTTAAAATCGATCCGAACTACAACGTGAACATTCCTAATATTTACCGCTCCCCATAATATTTTGGACAAGATCCACCACTGCTTATATATGCATATATATTAGGAAAAAATGTTAAATAAGTTGGCCTATGTGAGTGAAACTTGTCTCTATATTTATTTTGAATGATGTAAAAAATACGAGAACCTAGCATTTATGTAATTGGATGTTATCTCTGAGCTTAGTGTGGTATCATGCTCATTTAGAAGTCTTAGGATATTTAGGAATCATATTGAAAATAGTCTCATGCATTAAAAAGTTGTTTCTGCACAAAATTGAATTGCATGTGTCGACGTACGCATTTCAGGTCGACACATGCAACTCAGTAAATAAGCATTTAACTTCTGAATTGGTTAGGTCGACACATGCATCATATAGGTCGACACATACTGGAGCTTTTCTAAGATTACAAAAAAACTTATTTTATCTGTCGACACACACGATCTTCAGGTCGACACATTCACTATTATTTTAAAACATGTGTAGCGGTAAAATCAATAAAGTCGCCACCGAGTATTTATTTATCCCACATAAAGGGAAAGGAAAATCATCGAAGAAACCTGAAGGGAGAAATCAATGTCTTGCGACCGAGAGATCGGGTACGGGAGTCGATTACGGGAGGGGAAGATATTAGTACCCCTCACGTTCATAGTACTCTACGAAATCCACTCTTGTTGGTCTAATCAAAGAGTGTGTTCAATCTAACGCTTAAAATCTATAAAAACTAAAAGGGATGCATGCAAAGAAAACACGGGGAAAAGAAGAAAATATTTACAAATTTTCGCTCGGCTGAGCCCCGTGACCATATGCCTACGTATTCCTTTTAAGGAAACAGAGCTTCATGGTTCGGTTCATAAATTTTTGGTTGTTTGTATTTTTTAAATGAACAATGTTAAACTTAATCATTCCACCGATGCTCGACCACTGGAGACTCACACACTGCAGTGGAAAGGAATTAACACGTTCTTGGAAGAGAAAAGCCGAATGACGAAAAGAAATGAATTGGTTGGTATTTTTTACCATGAAAAGGATTTTTGTATGTTTACCATGCTTCATACATTTTCCAAAAAAAAAGAAGTATTAGTTTTAAGTGCAATTATGCAAATGGGAAGAAAACACCTAAGAAAGACTAACCTATCTCTAACCTAGTGTTATCATACAATGATGGCCCTATGTCAAGGATGGAAAGGGAAATCTCTATCCTATGTTAGCATGTATGGTTCCAAATCTAAGGTCTAACTTGCATCCGAAAGGAGCAAGCATATCCTAAGGGAACATGGTATAGAAAGCGCGTGAGCAAACAAACTTGAAAGAGCACACATATGAAATGGTAAAGAAAATAAGCGAAGTGCTTTATCAAGGGGAGCGGATCACCCGAGACAAATAAGTGGGAGTGAAATATAAAAGAAGAGAAATGCTTTAGCTAAGGAGAGCGGATCACCCGAGGCAAACAAGCAGGAATAAGATGTAAAACAAAAATGTGATGTCCAAATCGACTGAACACCTAACCAAGATATAGAAGATCAAGATAGGCGAAAAAAGGAAATATGAATAATCACAGAGTGTCAGCATCGGCTAATGCAAACTCCTGACAAAGTGTAGGAGATTGGTTGCAAAACCACTTTCCACTTGACGACTCGATAACAAGAGTAGGCACAACTCTGAAGCATCATGGTGCGTCACAAGCTAAGGATGACACAGACGGAATGTGGGGGTTGATTGCGAATCCTTTCCGCTTGCCTCCTTTTTGAGGACTTCAACAAGGGATGGCGAAATAATATCGGCACAAATGTAAACACATGTGCGGAATACCCATTACAAAGGTATGGTCTTAAACAAACACAAATAGCATACAGAAAACAGTGCCTGCTACAAGACTTTAAACAGTGACTTCGAGCGCACACTCTTTATTTCCTACTTCTCATGATATATAGAAAGCAATAAAATGCGGAAAGATAAAATGAAATCAATATAATACCAAACTAACAATAATGTCCGTAAAAAGCGCAACCAAAGGAAAGAAATCCGGAATACTTTACGAGAGCTGACATCAACAAACAAACAGTCAAAGATCGAATGCTCGGAAATAGTGTCAGAGCATCATCAATATAAAAATAAATCACAATCGAAAACTCAAGCATATCCATATATCACATACTAAACATGCATACAACTCAAATCTCGACAACCAGAAGTGAATCACAAGTCTCAAGTAATTGAAAGATCATGGATTAATTCCCGAAAATTAAATAAAAGTGTAACAATTTTTTTATTGATTTTGTGGTTTATTATCTTTAAAAAAAAATTAAGAAGTCCCAAATTCTACATATTTTTTATTATTTCATTATATGTATTATAATTTTTTTATTAAGAAAATTGGAATAAATTTAAACTAAAAGAAAAGCTAAAAAAAAAAGAAATAAAAAAAGTCAGAGGGGTGTAAATCTGGACGACAAGGGTATGAATCAAGTAAAAAGTTTAGGCCCATCCCATTAGAGTCTAGGAAAGCTACTTATTTTTGTTTCAATTTCTTCATGCTGCACAAAACAATACATCTGATGGGCTTAGGGGGGTTTCAATTTCGGTCCATTCCAATAAACACCAAACTAAATTTTTGTGCAAGTAACACCAGAACCTTCAAAAAAAGGATGCCTCGTGGGCCTAATGAGGATATCCGGCCCAGGATCAACACAATAATAATGAGTCCAATTATCCCAAGTCCAATCCACTCATTCAATTTTTTTACTCAAATTTTTGTTATGTTGGTCATTTGTTGAAAAAAAAAACACAGAACACTATTAACTAAAACGGATTAGGGTTCAAGAGGGGTGACCTTTGGACTTCCTCAAAAACTCAAACTCTCTTCAATGATCCCCGACGCTGGCGAATGTCCTCACCGTCTCCGCTTAAACTCTCTCTCCCTTCTTCCAAATCGCGACGTTGGTCCTCCTCTATGATCCGTCATCTCAAATCAAACCTCATCCTTATCTCCGATTCGGTCCCTCTCTGTCAACGAATACTTTGCATCTGTCTTTAAACTCTGGTGACCTCCTTCTCCTTCGATTCAACTCCGTCTTTATCGCGATGACACATATCAATCATCATTTCCTTGCCGCTCATCCATCATCATCTGCAGTTCTGATCATCATCTCTTCAACGCTTCAGTCGCGGATTCGTCATCTTCGTCCGCTTTATCACTTCCGCTCCATCGTGTTTCCGTTAACCGTCGATTCAACCTTATCGTTCATCCTCTCCTTTACTCTGCTGCCGTTTCAACCTATGAAATTCAGTTCTCCGCCACACTCACCTCTGATTTTAAAGTTTGGATCACTGAATTCACAAGTACAAATGCCAGAAGAAAATAAACACTACACTTAAACAAATAAGAATTACACAAAGAAGCAGAAAGACGTAGAACCTGGATTTTAAGTGAAGATATTCATAAAACCATAGATGAGGTAATAATCAATCTGCTTTTTCTCTTTTCATTCTTCTTCTTCCATTCCGTATGTGATTTCTTGTGCGTCGAATAATTTACTGATATTTGTTGTTGTTACGCTATTCTTGAAAGGTTATTGATGATGAATATATGAGAATGAAAACAGTGAATCTACGTTAATGAGAAGTGGAGATGAAGATTGAAAAGCCTGTGAAGCTTGCATTCCAGAGGAACTCAAAGATGAAGGTGATGTTGAGGATGAAGATTGAAAGAAGATGCCAAGGGAGTCTCGAGAGAAAGGTTGAAGATGAAGATGATAATTATTTAAAAAATCTCAGAGAGATTCAGAGGTGAGTATCAAATTTTGTGTTATATTTTTCTTACCAATCCTGGAACGTGAATCCTCCTTCTGTTATAAGCTCTCAAAAATTTGTAAGAACTTGTGCATTCTTGGTCATTGGATTAAAATTACAAAGAGAAAATAAATGGCTGGGATATTTCTGTTATGACAGTTAGAGGACTGAAAAATTTGTTAGTTCTGTTAATAACTACCAGTAAGGTTTCTATTAGATTTTAGTTGAAAGTTAGTTATGAATTCAGCAGTAACTGAATCTATTAGTGGCACTTGGCTTAGGTCACCCCTGTTTTGAAACTGATTTTCATTCTTACGGTTTTACTCTTTCCTTTAATAGTTTCTTGTATGCTTTTTTTATCTGTTTTGGACATCAAGGCAGTTTATGATGAATCCATTTTATTCATTGAACTGCTCTGGACTAAAGGTATTGGATACTTGAACTGGTTTTTGCAGGGACAAACTTATGATTGGATCTTTTTTTCTCTATTTGATGCAGGGATGTTTCGACGTATTTCAGAGCAAAGTCGAAACATCGAACAAGGCATTCGTGTTAGCTTTAGTCCACGGAAAGCAAGGTGTTTGGATTTGATTTATGGACTGGTTTAGCTCAAGCTTCTGCATTTGGAGATTCTTCATTATGCCTTTTCGAATTAATTTCTTCTGCCTTTATTGTGAACTGATACTGGCCTTTTATTTCTGATTTTCTTGTGTAGGTTTTTAGACAGATTGCAATGTTTTGAAACAGGGCAGGGCTGATCGTTTGGTGCCGGATATTATTTAAAATGACGCAGTGCAGGGGCTGTTCTGAATTCAGAAATCCAGGAGCCATCTGAAGGATTCATGTTGGAAATTTCATGAAGATGGAGCAACACAAAATTACTTGACTTGCTATAGCCATTTTGTATATATTTTGATCTTTTGAATGACAATGGTGATATTAGTTCGTAACTGAATTTGACTATTATCTTGGATGGATGTTGATTGTAATTTTTTTTACAGTTTGAAAATGAATTCAGATGAAACAATGACCCCTAGAGATTATGAGCTTGAACTATTTAAATTACAAGCCAGCCATTTTATTTCTTTCCGTGCACCAAAACAAACACACAATATCATTATTTGCAACACATGAATTAAACTTCATAGTTTCCAAAAAAATTGGAAGTAATATTTTGTAGTTTAAAGACCCAACATGTTTAATCAACTTTGTTGATGGACGATGATTCAGAACTAGTGTAGTCTTGAATAATGCTTGAAATGATGAAAACCACATGAACTGTCCAATCTAGCTTGAATTAATTCGAGAACAAAATATGCACCATAGCCCGTATGCATTCTAGCGTCAATATTCTGTGAGAGCATGAAACAATTACATGTTATCTGATCGACGAAGCCTAGTCTCAAATTGAATCACAAATTTCTAGAAGCAACCAAGTTCCTTTTTAAAATGCTAGATAAATGATCTCCTCACCCATAGTCCAACCAACAAGACATATCTTGACTTGATGAAAACTTAAGGCAGTCCTTAATCAATTGACAAATAACGTCATAAAAAAGGAATCTCTTGATTAAATCCTCAAAACTTCTTGAAAGGAAAGCCTTGTAGAGAAAACTATTGAGAGAAACCCTAAATGTTGATGAAGAACTTCCAATGAGGACAAGATGATGATCCTTGTAGCCTTGATGGGAAAACCAAGCACAATGAACCATTGTTGAATAACCAATACCCATTGTTGTACCCCAAAATTTCCCCTCCTATTTTATTCAAGACATTCTTTTAAGGGTTCTCAAAATGCTCAAGAATCTCAAAGGTTGACCAGTCAAACCTCCTTCTAAGTAATGAGTCTACAACTAGGATTTTGAGTTTCTCAAGGAAGATTGGTTTTCAAAGGTCTCAAGTGGTTTACATGATTCTCTATAGGTCTTCAACAATGCTCATGTCAAGTTTCAAGTCTTGCATCACAAGTTTGCTTAGTCAATGGCTCAGATGATTGGAAATCAACTATATTGGGTAAAAAGTCAACTATGGTCAACATACAGTCAAATTTCAAGATTTTTGGTCAACATCAACATTTTCAGGTGATATTCATTATTTGATCAAGGGTTGATCATGATTCCTCAAGGAAAGTCCTCAAATCATCAAAAGTCAAAAGTTGCCAAATTAGGGTTTCCTTAGGAGAAGTCAACTGAAGTTTGACCAAGCATAACTTTCACATGCTTCATCAACTTTTCCCAAACCAAAGCCCATTTAAAAGGAAATTCAATTCTATACAACTTTGTATATTTATTCTCAAGTCCAAAAAGTGCTTCATTTGAAAGATATGAGCTAATACATTACAAGTCATTTCAAAAGTCAACAAAAAACACTTTTTGTCAAGGCAACTTACATCAAGATAAAGTCTCCAAATACAAAAATGATCAAAAGAGAAATTGTAGAGGACATCTTGAGATTTCTAAAAAGTCAAAGATAACCCTAAAGTGATAAAAATTGAATGATTTATGATTGGTGCAAGTTGGGCAGTTTTTGAGAAATGCATGAAACCTCAATTAAGCAATCTTGAAATTTTAGACTAGTGGACCTATTTTTTAAGGTTTAAACATGTTCATGACCTTATAAAGGACTCCTAAAGTAATTCATACCTTGGCATGATTTTTATTTATATTTACTTTTATTTTTATTCAATTAAAAAGAAAGTAAATTAAATAAAATCATAAAATAATGGATTAATGCATATGGGCTTGGTCTTTGATCGGATTTGAAGCCCATAAACATGATGGCCAACTAGTAAAACCGTGTAAAGCTCAAAAGGATAAAGATCTCCAAAAATGGAAGGCTTTAAACATGTTTTATCTTGCTTGATCTTGGCCATGATGACATGATTTTGTACCTTATTTGTTGATGCAATTTCATTCTCTCTATATACACAAAGGCATGCAGATCCAAGGGGACGAAAAAAAAGCTTCCTCAAGAATAGGTTCATAAAATTCCAAATTTCAAAGAATTGTGCAAGAACTGAATCCCAATTTCCAGAAGTTCTCAACCCAAACCAGTGATCATACATCACTCTTGAGGTTCCCAGGAGTCTCCTCATATCCATAAGCACTCCTGAGGAATCACCATTTTTGTACCGTGTTATTATGTTTTAATTGTACCTCATTGTACAGGTTGAATTAGCCAAAGAGTTGATCACCATTGAACTCACAATGGTTGAATTAGGGGGACTGTACCCTTCTTTCTTTGTGATGCTGCCATTTTTGCAGGATTGAAATTTTGCCTCACCGGAGAAGACGACCGGAGCTAGGGCTCCGGCACCTCTCCGGTCCCTTGACCATTCACATCTGCGTGGCATCAGGAGACATCATGATTGGATCGTTTATAATATCAGGGGCCCACCTGTTTGACTTGTGCTTGAAAATTATATTTTAATCTTATTTTGTTATTTAATGATTGTTTTGCGTTTATATAACGAATGACAGCGCAACGCAGATGGCAAGGTCTTGGACATGTGACTGAATGGGCGTGGGTTTGAGTCCTAGTTTTGCACCTTATTTTTGTTATTTTCAGGATAACATGTATGATTATTACAAAAGGATTGCTGGCTATTCTCAAACAACAAGGAAGAGTAGCGTAGTTGGCAAGGGCGCGCGCCTGTGACTTCAAGGGGGTGAGTTCAAGTCCCACCCCATGCATTTTCTTTTATTTTTCTTTTTCTAACCCTAATTTTCTTTATTTTCTAATTCTTTTTAATTAACTACTAACAAACCCTAATTATCTTTTTTTAAACCTTAATAAATTAGGTTTAGTTTTTCTTAATCAATAATCAATTTTGACTTTTTCAAATAACATTTTTATTAATTAAAATCAATTAGACGTAGGTTTTTTTTAATTGACTTAATTAATTTCTAATTATTTAGAATTAGTTTTTTATTAACAATTAAAATCATTTTCATAAAAGTAACAAAAAAAAATATCAAATTAGGTTTTTTTTTAGATTTCTTTAAAAAATATCTCTCCTAATACTTATTTTCTTCGTTATTTAAATTTCTTAGATCGAATGTATAAGCTTCACGTCAAGTTGTAATAATTTTAGATTTAAATTTTACACGAGTTTTACTAAATATTGTAACTGCTAAAGGTTGTAATAGATAAACTAGGGTTTACTGTTTCTTCCCCCATTTTTATGGTTTGTAACCCCCATCCCCAAAGCATTGTAATAGCGTAGGTTTTATTTCCAGTACTTTTACTTTCCGCACCTATACTATGTATGTCTGTCTGTATATATTTAACTGTTAGTAATAGGCTTGTATGGCAAGATTGAAAACAAAACGCTAGAAAACCTAGTCAAAGACAAAATAACTGAAAGTAACTCACCTTTCACACACACACACACACACACACACACACACACACACACACACACACACACACACACACACACACACACACACACACACACACACACACACACCTCTAGGATAACTCTACTCTTTGCCTTTGGAAAATAAAGTCATGTCCCTCGAACGTGGGACACTTTAGTAAAGACTCTCGGTTAAAAGATCGTAGTCCCTCGATGACCCTTTGATGCTGCCTCGGTAAACGATCTTAGTTCCTTATGACAGATTGCTAAAGCGCCCTATGAATTGCCTTTATGACTGTATGGTGACCCGCGCCTGTCCCTCAAACATCCAACGACAGGGCTTCCTACTAACTAATGGTAGGATAGAACTATCTAAGGAAGATGAAAAAGAACAAAAGACTTTTGAGTAGGTAGATAGTTCTTAATCGCTTGCTCGCGAACATTTCAAAATATTTTTCACACAAAACACTTATTTTCTAAAATATTTTCAAAATAAATACTTTGTATGCATTCTCAATGATGCAGGAATTATTACAAAGTTTGCCGCACTTAGGCATTTTCAAAATATTTTCAAAACACACAAACACAAAACATTTTCAAAAAAATTGAGCTAGCGATTAAGAGTCTGTAGATAACTACGGATGAAAAGGGTGCTAACACCTTCCCTTTTCATAACCTACCCCCTTACTCAGAAAATTCTCAAAAGGTCTTTCCTGTTCTTTTCACCCTTTCTTTTATTGGATAAAAGAAAAGTCGGTGGCGACTCTTGCTATATGCAACACTTGTAATAAAATACAAAACCAAAAGTTAGTTCTCCCACCGTATTACACCCATGCTTAGGAACATCACAGGATAACCCTAATTTCTTAGATCTGAGTGCATATTGATGAGGAGATGACTTGAGGAATTGAGAGGAATCAAAACCCTGGCTTCAGAACATTCTCAATGAAGACATGATGAAATCTTGAGCACACGGTAAACCCTAAGGCACTTTTTTCTGAAGAAATTCTGATGAAGACAACCTTATATCTCGAGGAACCCTGCCAGTGAAGACGTCTATGATTCTTGTGATCCAAAACCCTAGTTTCATACCAAGAATGATAAGAGCACCAGTTGAATCAACTTTGAGTAAGATAGCAACCTCAATTCATAGGGAAAAACCATAATGCCAAGGAGCCCTTTGATCCTGTAACCATGAAATCGATGATGTGCATGAGATGTATATGATGTAATGCGGGATCTTAGGGGCAAAAATTAGGGTATAACATATGTAGCTACTCACTTGTTTCGGTCGACACATTCAACCTTCAGGTCGACACATACAATTGAAAATTGAAGTATGTGTCGACACATACGATTTTCAAGTCGACACATATTATTTGTTCAAGTCAATTTTTTAAAATCTTTCTAATTCCGAAAAACTCCTTTTTCCATATAAACTTCCACAACTATGAACACATCATTCATGCAT